TTAAATTATATACAGAAAGTGATCAAAGAATGCTCCCTTTAGAATCAGGGTATAAAATGTCCTTTCATTTCTAAATTCTGACCATTTTTGATGTAAAAAAAAAAAAAATCATACTAACATTATAAATGCCCCTCAGGAAACATGATCAAATAATAAAAAAATGCAGTTCATGACCCCTTTAATGCTTTATCATTTTTTTGTATTGTGTAATATATTTTGGAGCCTGTAGCCAATCACAGATGAGGAACCGTGGCAGCTACCTGAGTTCCAGTGCAGGGAATGAATCTGATCTTTAATGTCTTCGCCTGTCACTTTGAACTGCTGTTCTGGCTTCTCAGATGTCTCACTTCAACAATGGCATCTTTAACCCCACGGGACATTCTGGATAATTGGCTGTTTAAAAGGACAACAGAGCTGTCAATCACACACCACTCACCCAAGCACTTGTAGGGGACCACGATGTGAGCGTGGCCCTGGCACTGTTTCTTGTCCTTCTTGCACCAGTTCTCGATCTTGACTGGCTGGTTGGCTTCCACCACATTTGCGATTTGCAGCTCAGGATACATCTAAAAAGGAAGAGAGCGGAGAGATGGGGTCTGTACAGTAAGCTGTGATCCATTGCTTCACAATCTCCAGACGCCATCTGCTCACGTATTGGAACTAACACAAGATTTACTCTCTCCTGAAATACATTAAAAGAACATCAATGAAAAGCAATCTCAAAATGTACAGGGACGGTAGTGCTGTTTTCGCAGTCAGCCATATGACAGACGAGAGCAATATTTGACATTTTTAACCAAATAGTGTTTTTTTAATATAGTTCTGGGAAAGGACCTTTTAGAGTACAGCGTGTTGGGAGGCTTATTGCTTTTATAAATCAGCAGTAGCAGCAATATTACAGAAGACACCAATGTCTCAAAGTAGTATATAAAGAGAGTTAAACAATAATGGAATAAGTTCATTATAAACAAAAAAAAATGTTTTTGGTAGATACTAAGTTTACTGCTCAACAGCTGCATTTATTTGATCAAAAACACTGCAAAAACAGTACTATTTTGAAATGTTATTACAATTTAAAACAACGGTTTTCTATTTTTATATACAGTATTTTAAAATGTAATATATTCCTGTGATGCAAAGCTGCTTTTCTGCATTGTTACGCCAGTCTTCATTGTCATGCGACCCTTCAGAAATCATCCTAATATGCTAATTAGCTGCTCATTAACATTTCTTATCATTATCAATATTGAAAACAGTTGTGCTGCTTATTTTGGTGGAAACTCTGATGCATATATTTATTTATTTATTTTATTTTTTTGATGATGATAGATAGTTCAAAAGAACAGCATTTTTTCCAAATAGAAATCTTTTGTAACATTATAAATGTACATAAACTCTGAACATAAACTCATAAACTGAATAAAAATGTTAATTTCTTCATAAAATTCTTACTGACCCCAAACTTCTGAAAAGTAGTGTAATTTTTAACATTTATAATAATGTAATAAATATTAAAAAGTAAGTTTAGTTTTAAGTCAGTGTGAAACCCAACAACCCAATCTATGCATTTCCAAGTGAAGCAGGATTTAAGGGAGGATGTCATTAATCAGCAATTGATTATATTGTGAAAAGTAGATGCCCAAGCAGATGGCTCATTGCTCACTCGCTGCAAGAATTGAACAAGAAATGAATTTTAATGGAGATTTATGTTGTGTAATATTGTTTTACCTCTTGACAGAATTGCAGCACTCCTTCTTTGGTTCCGACGCAGGTTTTGGATCCAGAAGGGTCCGGCTCCCAGCGGCCAGTCTGGATATTAATGTGCATGTTGAGCTTGCCGCAAAACATGGCAACCTGCGGCTCTGCAACGGCAAATCCGGTACCTGCATTAGCTGCCAGTGCCTGGGGAGCAGAAAGGAATAAAAGTGAGAGAATTATTTAAGGGAGGAAGTTAACGGACACTCTTATTATAGTTCAATAAAAGTCAAGCAGGATCAGACCTACACATCACACTGGAGTTCTTTTATAATGACGGATTTCAACCAAGGACAAATAAAAGCCTATTAAACCAATACTTTAATACAATACAAATATGACATTCTCATATTTGAAAGTATTTTTTTTAAATGTATTCCTGTGATGCAAAGCTGAGTTTTCAGCATCATTACTCCAGTCTTCAGTGTCACGTGATAAGAGATGCACATATTATAAAATATAACATTAAAAAGTTTATAAACCACAAATTTTTCTACAGAAACACTGTCCAACAGCAACACCGGCAGGTAAAGTTACAGAGGGAGTCCACGTTTCTCTTGCCTCCCCTGAGCCCACTGAGTTTTAACAAACCCCCTAAAGCATGCGGCGAGTTTGGTGTGATTAATTGAGAATGAATGGAGAAAAATCACATGAGAGGAGGCAATGCCTCCATCATGGTATGATTGGATATGACTGGTTATGTTCGGCTGTGATTGGTTCATGCGATAAATCCTGCCTATTGTGTTCATGTGCGTTCTACGTTCGCGAATCAGTCTGAATGAACAATATAATGGCATTAATGGGAAGACTCATTTAAAACAGTACGTAAACAACTCACACACTTAGATGTAACCACTTTATTACATCAAAATAAGACTTGAAATGGTCTGAAAACATGATCTGTGGGAGTTTTTAGAGAGTAAATCAGCTTGTTGAAATTTAAAGTAAATTTCTGTTTCTGTGACCAATATTTACTGAGCTTTGATGACTGATGAACCGAATAATTCAAAAATAGTTAAAAGTTAACTATTAAAAAGAATAGCTGAACATAAGTTCACAAATAAAATATTTTGTTTAAATTGTTACTGCCTTGAGTTATTATTTTGGAATAAATGTAAAATGCTTAATAACTTGATGAGATTCATACTTGGCTTTAATAAACAAAATATTGATTACATTGTTAATGTAAAAATATAAAATAGAATTGTAGTTATTGTTGTTGTTTTCTGGTAGTGTATGTAATGTTTATTTAACCAGGAACATGTGACTGAGACAGGAATTTTCATTTGATAAAAAAAAGGACTTTTTTCACAACTCAATTCACAAACACAGGACCCTACAAATAATAATGACAACTACCCAGGAGGCCCATTGTTATAGCCTACTTTACATCTAGAAGGCCAGATATCCTTTGCACTGTATAATGACAAGCTATCATACCATGTCCTTTTTCCAGGCCAAGACTATTAGTCCTGACTTCCACTTTTGAGATTTAGAAATTAAGCAGTCTTTAAAAGCCATATCATATGTCATTATAATAGTGTATAACATGTAGACCTATAGACCTAAGAAACCCTATATATATATACAGTATATATATATATTCAGTTTCAGCACATGCCCCTCAAATGGTCTGTGCACAGCCCTGTTCGTGAATCAAACACATGCAATGCAACCAATGTAGCTGATATATAAACAAGTTCATATGAGCAACAAATTGCTCATATGAAAAGTTAAAGATGAACATTGTGTTTTGTCACTGCTATTTATAAAATAATTAATGAAATATACTATGTTTTTGACTACTTTTGTTGTTCAGTATTTTAATAAATACTGAATAACGACTACTATAGTCGGCTACTAAAATAGTAGGCAGTAAATAATAATACATACTCTGCTGAATTCAATTCCAAACATAACCATGGAGAATTACACAAAACAGATAAAGACATAATAAGACAGTGAGTGAGCAAGTGAAACCACTTGACTCACAGATAAAGCTGCATTTGGGAAGACTGGTGTTGTCCGTCATTGTGGGCATTGTGAAGAAAATTCCTGCAGTCTGTTTACTGGCTTGTCACCACTCCAAAAGCAAACAAATCTTCCTCCATTTATAGACAAGAGGCAGCATCTCTGAGTGTGCGGTGTAAGTAAACAAAGCCAGAAAAAAGGGAAGGGAGGACAAAAAGCACTGCAGACAGGAAGCAAAAAAGATGAAAAAAGGCTGACAGACTAAACCACACAAACCATCATGGAGCACTTAAAGAACTCCAGTCTCTCCAGTGCCTTTTAGAGGGGATAAAAAATATAGGAATGGGGTGAAGGGGAGAGGGGAGGTGAGGCATGAGATAAAAGAGAGAAGATATTTGCTTGGGGAGACGTGCAAGGCCATGTTTGTGGCTTGGGAATGTATGTTGCATGTACATCAGGTCCTCCAAGGCACCGCTGTGAGGGTCAGTGTTACTGTGATCTGAATTGGGCCATCAATATTTCAGGATGGTGGCCGGTGGGAGGAGATGTGAATGATTTATAGGAGCTCTGCAGCTCCCAGGCTGAAACAATACCCACAGCCTAATCTCCCACCACACTTTGCTCTTTCTCTCCCTTTTGCTTTTTTCTCTCTTGCTAACATGCAGCGCTGCAATGCCCCCAGCTTTATTTACTTTATATTTTATATATTAAACTTTATATACAGTTTAATTGTGCGATTTTTATATTAAAATTACTGTTAAAATTAATTTTTTTTATTATTCATTTTTCTATCCCAGTTTATGGAACATCAACTGTAAGAAAGCCATTGATAGGAAGATTTCCTATAGAAACATTCTGGCTTGTAATGGTTTCAATACACTGATCCTCAAACAGTTCAACATGACTCTGGAGTTGGACTGTCTATCTGTCTGTCATATGTAAATTCCTGCGCATTATTTGTTTGACTCAGTCATCTGAACCCTAAATGTCATGTGAATAATCGCTCTGAACAATACTGATTGACTGACAGCACCACAAAAACAAACACAGTCCCAAACCCTTCGCTAGTGTTTATCAAAAACGGTGACATTGACAAGGAAAGAAGCAGGCAAGGGATAATATGTCAATTTTACATTCTTAATCATAGTGTACATAAATAGTGTAAAAGATACCCAATATTTACTTAATTTTTGTAAATAGTATTTAAAAATAATTAAAAAAAATGTATTTCCTGTGGAACTCACCATGCTATTTTTTTTTTACATAAATTTTGTCAGTAATAATAATCATTATCATCATCATCATCATCATCATCATGATAATGAATAAACTGACACTCCAACTCCATATTACTCAACCTTTTTGGCTATTTTCATTTTTTTAAATTTTCTTTTAAATGAATGAATGTTTGCAAAATCATTAGAAAATGAGTAAGCAATGTATCCAAACGTTTGACTGGTACTGGTCTTATTCCCTCAAAAAGCAGGGGTGTAAAATCTGCCTGAAATACATTGACAGAAAATTGAAAACACATGTTGGTCCTGTCTGCAAGAATCATAATCAACACAAATTGACAGTAAATTAATATTTCTTCCATAAACACATATTAGTTATCATAAGGGTCTTACATTCTAGGGGTTAAAAAAAATATAACTAGTAAACAGAGCTGGGTAGTAACTGATTACATGTAATCTGGATTACGTAATCAGATTCCAAAAATTAAGTACTTGTAATTAGAGTAAATTACATATTAAAATACTCGTAATCAGACTACAGTTACTTTTTTATGGATTAGATGATTACACATTATTCACACAATAGCAATAAATTATACACAACTGATCAATTCTCCTAATTCCTCTTTTTCATCTTTTAAATGTTCCTTTCTAAAATAGCCAACTGCTTATATACATTCAGAAAGTCTTCCAGATGTGTGGACATTCACACAGAGATCAGTCACTAGTCAGGTGGCTACACAACATTTGACCACTGGATTTACAAAAATAATTTCATGTGTTTCAACGTTGCATCAACTACTGATGAACACATTCATATTTATCTGAATTATCACTCAGTAGGTTATTTATTAACCATCTATTACAATGTCTTTGGAAGGCCTTTGACTTTCAAACACATTAAACTGTACTAAATCACATTATTTCTTATTTCCATGTAATGCAGGCATTCACAAAATCTCCTGATGAGCTCTCATGGAGAACCTGAGGATAATTTAGGGGATTTAGTGCTTGCTGTAGCAGTGTATATCAAGAGTGGAGCTGTGGACAGGCCCGTGGCCCTTATGGATAATCTCTCTCTTATGGGGTTTGTGCCATGGGTTGCATGGTCCTGAAGACCACTTATAGTCCAAGATGTTGTGCATTGAGACAGAGAAGACACAACAAGAATTTAAAGCAAATTGGTCTTGCTAAATGTGTGTAGGTGTCCATTAATATTATTGGTAACACTTTAGTATAGGGACCAATTCTCACTATTAACTAGTTACTTATTAGCATGCCTATTATTAACATATTGGCTATTTATTAGTGCTTATAAAGCACATAATTCTGCATGACCATATTCTACATCCCTAATCCTACCCAATACCTAAACTTAACAACTACCTTACTAACTACTAATAAGCAGCAAATTAGGAGTTTATTGAGGGAAATGTCATAGTTAATGGTTTGTAAATAGCAATAATTGGACCTTAAAATAAAGTGTGACCATATTTTTTATCATCACACTGTAAGAATGTTTTTTTCCAGGTAACCATAAAATATGTTTTGTGGTACCCTGAAAAAAGATTATTCAAGTACATTTAGCATAAAACAATATTTCCAAATTTCATGTTTAATTAAATGTGAATCAATCTGATGAATTCTTATACTGTATATAAATCCAAACCAATCTCATGATAAAATGTAACTATATTACAAGGTGGCGATTTTGTACAAATTGAAATGTATGCTTGAGATTATACAAATTCATACGAATCAGCCACCAATTCGCCAAAATGTAAATTATTCAAATTGCCACGAGAGTGTGTTGCATAAATTCTATTTGGTCTCTGCATCCACTAAGAGGAAATCCAAGAATGTATAACATTTTGCTGAATTATTTCAGAACTTTACCTTAACTATTTTATTTTCTTCCTGTGAAAAACACACAAATAAGTTATGTCCTTTTATTTGTGTCGTTTGTTTACCTGGCAATGTTATTATCCCCAATGTTGTTACCCCATTCTATAATTAATGCTAATGGGGGAAAAAAATGGAGCCGTTATCTACTTTTTAAATTTTGAATTCTGGGAGAACTATTCATTTTATACAGGCTAAAAAAAAATAAAAAAGCTAATCCTCACAAAAATGAGGTAGTTGTGGAAGAAAACTTTTTCCCCATTGTTTTGAGAAGAGTATGTCATGTTTATTATTCATAGTAATCTAGCTGTCATTCAGTCATGATCATTCTTAGACGCAGTGAGTTTTCAGAAGTGTTTATATGCAGATGTAGGATTAAACCTTGGATGATGATGAGGCTGTTTACCGCCAAGATCCAGCTGCTGTTCGCTCCTAATGAGAAGAGGCATATGTGGGATGTAATGTACTACATAAATCTCTCCCCGTTGCACCAAAGGCACCTTTAGGTAATTTATTTCATTCTCCTTTTTTTGTCCAAGTTTGAGGGAAACTTCTCCCTCCATGCACTTGTTCATAAAGGTGCAGTCTGTAAGGATTTAGCCAGAAATCTCTAATCTCCTGATGAGCTCTCATGGAGAACCTGAGGATAATTTAGGGGATTTAGTGCTTGCTGTAGCAGTGTATATCAAGAGTGGAGCTGTGGACAGGCCCGTGGCCCTTATGGATAATCTCTCTCTTATGGGGTTTGTGCCATGGGTTGCATGGTCCTGAAGACCACTTATAGTCCAAGATGTTGTGCATTGAGACAGAGAAGACACAACAAGAATTTAAAGCAAATTGGTCTTGCTAAATGTGTGTAGGTGTCCATTAATATTATTGGTAACACTTTAGTATAGGGACCAATTCTCACTATTAACTAGTTACTTATTAGCATGCCTATTATTAACATATTGGCTATTTATTAGTGCTTATAAAGCACATAATTCTGCATGACCATATTCTACATCCCTAATCCTACCCAATACCTAAACTTAACAACTACCTTACTAACTACTAATAAGCAGCAAATTAGGAGTTTATTGAGGGAAATGTCATAGTTAATGGTTTGTAAATAGCAATAATTGGACCTTAAAATAAAGTGTGACCATATTTTTTATCATCACACTGTAAGAATGTTTTTTTCCAGGTAACCATAAAATATGTTTTGTGGTACCCTGAAAAAAGATTATTCAAGTACATTTAGCATAAAACAATATTTCCAAATTTCATGTTTAATTAAATGTGTTACTTATCATTTATTAATTATTTGGGAAATTTATGAGGAATTTCTGAGTGAAAATTGTTTCAAAGAAAATTCTACACCATTTTTTTATCTAAATTAACTGCCTTTATTGAAGATCTAAATATTATTTA